ATTGCAATTTGTAGGAATACGTAGCGGGAGTTGATAATTCATGTTATGGATTAGATGTTTGGACATACGCATATAAATACACTATATCAGTGAGGTGTATTTATTAATACGTGGCAACAATCAGGTATTATTATAAATGAATGTTATCTATACAGATGAATCTTACTCTAAATCCTAGTACCGTGTATTGACTGAATCCTAGTACAGTATCTCGATTTATCTATATCGCGCTCACCGAGTGCCACTTCCGCTCCCAAAGTTAGCTTCCTACCAATGTCATTATGTGCGAAGCTGTGATTACGAACATCATGGATATTGCATTTATAATCCAGTTTGCGTTCGACGTGTGGTTTTCTCCGCTAAAACTCAATAAGTGTTATTATAACTTTTGGTAAAGGGGAATTGGCAAACACGAGATCAATCATCCAACTTATAGTGTACCTTATCTTAGTAGGTAACTTTGAGTGGATGTATTTATTCATTTTGTACTGTAACCATTTGCACCCACGATACCAAGCACCCATACCAAATGAGTATTTATGTTGTCCTGTTATTGGAAGCAAAGTTCGAGTGTTTGGTCAAGGACCATCCGTTTGTTACTATTATTGTACGCATATTTCAGAAATGCGCTCTGAATGAGGGTTAAGATCGTTGAAATCCAGTAGTACTCGTCTCCGTCTCGGCTTGGTTGGTTGTTGTATTTGTTACAATATACAACATGTACAATGTTAAAACACGTACTTGACCTTCAGCTGCATGAACCACATGTTTCAGCTTGAAGTTCAATTACATTTGCGTTATATTCAAAACGTTTCTATTTAAATTTTACCCGGTTCGCAAATACCCAATTGTTTACTAATTTTGTTGTCCTAAAATCGTTAATAATCTGTTTGTGGCAATAGCTGTGTGAATGCTAGAACAGACACACTTTGGGAAAACGATATATACCTTATTCAACATACCTAATGTGTATTTGAATATGTGCAGTACAAATAGATAGGTACATTGCCCCTTTAACGACCTGTGACGCAATCACCATGGTATTTGGACACAGCTCGAGGTGGTGCTACAAATCACGTTTCGAGAAAAATGAATTTGAAATGCGGTTATAAAGAATAAAATAATTAAATGATCCTCGTATCCATATAATAATCATAGTCCGTGGTGTGCATGGGTTGAATAGTGATGGGTAGTCGTGCCTACTGGGGATATATACCAGTGCAACGGGCTTCGTTTTTTTTAATTCTAGATATATTAATGGGTAATATTTATCGTTTAAAAAATTGCCAGCGCTTGATTATGGGCCATAACTCTTTATTTGATGAGAATATGACATACCCCACCGTTATACAAGTTGTTAAAGGGCTGTAGTCGTCGTGCCGCGTCCTGTTCGATATGGGACTCATAGCGACGTATACAACGCATGTAAAATACATTGTTTATTTACATGAAATTCGAACACGCGCTGCGCGACGACCACCGCGCTTTAAAACACGAGAATACATTCTGTAGCTACATGCAGAGGTATATCTATGGCCCTTCGAGTACTCGGCTGGGTACCCCCTACCCAGCTGTGGGTCAAGTGCTCTTAGGTCTGGTATTTTGTTTTTCAAATGTGACGATTTAAATCAATAATTCAAACTTCGTTTGTGTTTTTTGTACGTGTGCAATTTATATACATATTTTATAATTGCAAATCACACAGGTCGGACAAAAATGGAATTGAATTTGAAAAAAATACACTTTTAAAACCTTCTCTGTACCAATTATCCTCTTTAACATGATGTTCTAATGTATTTCACTTTTTAGTATATGTTTCACCTGTACATGAAACGACAGGTTAGGTACTTTATACAAACGTTACTCGGATCACCACTCGAGGTCGCAATCTGACACGCATTACCGCTTGTCTGATTTCATTTAGTTCCCATGTTTGTTTCTACCAAATAACATTACTTAAACAGTATAAGAAATCCACGCATACAAAAAAGACATGCACCCTGACCCGATTGTTGGGCGTAAACTTCTGACCAAATTCGTATTTCACCTTCACTCCAGACCCGAAACAATAATGCGATAACAAAGCATTGTCAACGCCCGTTCATTATCGCCACTTTTCTGCTTGAGCGTAGAAATGCACGGCTCTGGATACGCGATATGAGTAAACATACGATGTCGGGTAAGCCCTTTGAACTGTCCCGTCTACAAAGTAACGGTTACACGGAGAATGGTGGCGAATAGAGGATTGGATTGAGTTACTCTAATCATTTTGCTGGTCGGATTATAAGGAACAATGCATTCGGAATGCTACTCAGTATTTCCCATCGACGGGACAAGAGGCGCAGTGCAAGTTTATGATTCACCAGAAGAACGCGGCGTGTTACGTTGGATAATGACTAAACATTCCGGCATGTTATGCTTAGTTGTGTTCTCGTTATTTATCAAACTAGTTTGCCGTCAAATGGGCGTTTTGAAGTATCTATTTCTTCGATGTTGCCAACTCAATTTATTACTTGCGTTGAAATATCGATGTGTGTCTGTTCCAGTGAGGCAAATTTGAAAGGCCGACCCCGATCGGACCAGACGCAGTATAGAGAACATCGTCGAAAATAGAATTGCTTTATACGCCAAACAATGCGAAAATATTTGGGTGGGCGTTCACTTCACATGTCCATGTCATGGGTATAAACATGCCGTCGGGCTCCATAGAACATGACGTCACACAAGCATTAAATCATCAAAAATACCCACGCTCACACAATGCAAAATAAGCAATAACATCGTGCATTGTCGGATCAAAATATCAGTGAGGTAACCGTGGCTGTGCTCACACTTAAATATAGTGCAAACGATTTTTTTTTATCTCACGCGTTGTGTATGTTGCATGGGACCCATCTTGAGCACGACGCAGTGCATCATCGCGCATATAGTTATTAAAAAAATATGAGTACCAGGTTGATTTTCAAGAACAAATATTTAAATTATTCAAGATAACTGATAATAAGTACTGTCGATCACGTACACACATACATACCTATACCCAATGCGGGGGTCATCATGTGTTATATGACGTTGTGTAAACAGTTATACGCCACAGAAAGCCTAAGTAATGTAAAATTATAAGCAATCTGACAGATTTATGTTTTTTTTTTATATATGACTAACCATCAGTAGTTTGTTCAGGTAGTTCTAAGCGGATGACGGGAACTGAAAAAATAACAGTGGTCGCGTTCCATAGTCAGTTTTTTGAAAGCATTGTTGCAACATGTTGTCATGTGAAACTAGCGTACCAGATTTCAAATGATGTTATATTTGCTAATGCAGACACGCCTGAGGAGACTATGAATGTTGTGAATGCTGGAGATGGGACTACTTGTTCAACCCTTCT